GGGTTGGAAGTTGATGCCCATTAAGGTCACTTCCAACTCAAGCCATTCCATTATTTTATGGTATTATGACTTGCAGTAAAGGAAGTGCCACCTGCAAGTCTCCTGCTTTGAAAGCACTGCACTTGCTGGGTACAAGACTGTACAGTACTTAACTGGTATGGTCATGTTTGTTGACTGCAGTGAATTTCAAAAGGCCCTCCAGAAAAATAATATTTTTACACTATTATTTTTACAGAGCAAAGGCTAAAAAGAAAAGGGAAGGGAAAGGAAAGGTTGGATAGTGGTTATTATGTGAAATAGCTCCCTGACTGTGATGAGACATGGGTAGCTTACTTTCTGTCCTGGTTCTTTAGGAGGATGGATTTGAGCTTTTCCTCTGTCATGTAACATCCCAGTGGAGTAGGAGGAGGAGGCTGGCTGTGCAGGGGATGAAGAGTTGTTTTTCCCTCCCCCTCGCAGTGCCTGTCTGTGCTGTAGGTGGGGAACAGAGGGATATATTCTGGGCAGAGCCAGTCCCACCTTTAGGGAACAGGTCCTCACTGTTTAATCCACGTTCCTTTCCATTTTCTTCAGAACAGTGCAGCAGAAGACTACCCTGTTCTTGAATCAAGGCCACAGCTGAGCTTCTCTGCAATTATTTCATGTTTGCTCACTTGTAATCAGCAGAAGCTATTCTGAAATGTTCAAATGTGCTATTATGTTTCCTTTATGAAATAATGAGATTAATTAATCTTATTTCTTTTCCCCTTAAGAGAGCTCCCTCTCCCTTAGTTCTGCTTTCTCCCTACACTTCTGTAAAGGTAAAGTCCATCTTTGTGCCTGCACTATCTTGTCATAGTGCACTGTAAATGGTGTATGAGGGCTTCACGATTTGCCTTTTCTCAGCCTCTGAAGTGTTGGTTGAAGCACATGGCACCATAGAGCTGCATTTCTGACCTCCACATAAGAGCAGTGAAAACAAGTCTGAGACATCTCAAGTTCAGTGACAGCATCCCAAGATCTCCATCAGCCAGAACTGTGGTGTTGCCCTTCTGAGTTTTGTCTCTTGGCAGTTTTGTGCCAGGCAAGCCAAGCTTTGGAGTAGTTGAGGTTATTGAGGAGAACTTCATCCAGAAGAGTAAGGCTCTCTCAAGCAGAGTTTGGTTTCAGTTCTCAGAAGGTCAGCGTGGGAAGCTCCCCATAAAAGCTGAACTTTGATGTTGTCAGCCAAGACAGATTCAGAAGATAGAAGATTTGGGAACATTTTTTTTTCTCTTCTTTATAATTATGTGGAACGCGGGAGACCTGTGAATAGGGTATTTTTAGATTGTACTTTCAAATATACGGTATCATAGTATGACAGCAAATTAAAATTCTTATCAAATCTTCTTTTTTTTTTAATTTTTTTTTTTTTTAAGAAATGTAATGAAACTCATAGTAGAAAGTTTGATAAAGAACAGTGTGCTGCTTGGCACAGAAATTCTGCTCTTGTTACTAAATGAAACATCACTGGTTGCTCCCATTTAGATGAACACTTTTGGAAGTTCTTTTTTTTTAAGGCTAGCGGATTGGACTTCTAATTTTAACTCCTATGGTTTATAATTAGAAACATTTCCAAACTTGTTTACAAACACCTACACTTGACAGTATGTGTCTGCAATTTTAGAAAGACTCACTTGTCACTTCCAGTGGGGGTTGAGAGGGCATCTGAGTTCTTTGTGTTTGTACAGTTAGTTTCAGGACACTGAAACAAAAGTACATTTTTTTAAAATAAGGGTATGAGAATGTGATGTTTCATGAGAGGGTTGCATGCACCTAATCAGCAAATAGGTCTTACTGAGTACTTGTGGATTATTTCAAAGTCAGTAGGATTTATTGTTAGTGGTCATTTGGAGGAAGATCCGAACTGGCACCCAAAGGAGAAATTCCAAGAACTAATTTTAGCAGTTGAGTCTCTCAATTGGAAAGGATGCTTTGCAGGTTTTCTGTTTTAATCTGTACTTAAGACATTACTTTCTTGCCAGCTGTCCCTAAGAAGTTATTCAGAAAGAGCTTTAAATGACTTTTGAAAAAATTATTGCATTGTTATTTCATATGAATTTGGAAGTTGCTGAGTGTACAGTGAATGGTGGAGCATGGTTCCTCTTGCTCCTGTGTGGGATGTGTGTATTAAACAAGTTTGTATGCAACTTGTTTGCAGTGTAGTGAATATCATACTATCTTACTCACTGGTCAAGTGTATAATCACATTAGAAGTGATCAAGATACTTTACCAAAATTTAAAAATAAAATCCTTTTGGCACTTTATATCTGACTTTTAGCCGCATCACATAGGTTAACAATGTTGCTTATCAATTTCTAGTGTAATGGGAAAGATTGTTGTTGCTAAAAATTGATGTTGCGTGGGAGGGTGTCAGGAAGAACCCTCTAAATATGCTTCAAGGGTACAGCTGAACCAGAAGTAGTCAAAGCAGACTTAAGTAGTAGTGGCATAAGGTGTCCTATTGATTGCTTAATGCTCATGTTGTTCCTAATTAGTATGAAAAACTTTGGTTAATTAGACCAGCCTGTTTGGCTGTTATGTCCTTTACCAGGAACCATGGTCTTCAAGAGACTCAGACATAGAAGAGGATAAGAAAGCCACAAAGCAGAATGTCTTTATTTTCTGCTGTTTTGGTGTCCATAAAAGCGTGGACCTGGATCCTTTTGAGGAATCTGCATTGATGTCAAAGGATCATGTCCTCAGAGGCACTTACTCTCTATCAGTCTCACTGAGAGTGATGTAAGTGGAATTAGGCACCTAAATACCTTTGTGTATGCTTGTTCTTTGGAGGCAAACCTGCAGTGTGCAGCCTGTGTGTTGTGCTTGACCCCTCTGCAAAGCACACAGCAAACTCACTGGGGGGCTCTTCCAAAGCAATTGCTCAAAAGTAAACAAACAGATAATTACATAAAGCTTCTGAAGTATGATGCACAGGTCTGTAGAATTAGGTTTTGCCTTCTGTAAACCAGCTGTGCCTCATATCAGTGTTTCTGAATTCCTTTAAGGAGGTACAGTTTTAACAAGCATTCACTTTCTGTTGCAAACAGGCTTTAAAAAAATTTTACTTTTGAAACAAGTAGGCTAGCTAAAATTATGATGTTACTTAGATACTGCACAGCATAATTTCTTAGCAAGTATAGCTGCAGTTAATAAATTGTGTTGCAACCGTATTAGGCTGCTACCATGTTTGAAAATAGCTTCAAACACAGCTTACAAGCTCCAGTGTTGTCAAGGTCCCACTTCATCAGAGTTAGAAATACACGACATTTTAGAAATGGCTCATGATTCAAATATGACCATAGAAATTAGACTTAAGTGGAATTTAATACCACTTCTTGCTTAACTAGAAATTTCTCTTTTTCTGATGAATTCTATCTGGAAATAGCACTTTCACAACTGATGTACTGAGAGAAATGCCAGTGTTTCCAGTTTTCCTCTATTTTGGTTTGCTCGTGTCTGCTCTGTGCCCACTTTCTTAAGTGTTAATATGTAGAAATGTTTCCAAAAAGTAAGTGGAGGCTTGAAATAAAGATCTGTGCAAGTGTATAAAGATCCCAATGATCCAGCTATGCCTTGAAAACAGGCAAAAACCTCTTCGATATCGTAAGTCTTGACTGACCATGAAGTTAGTGAAAAGATCTCTCAGATGCACCTGATAAGAAAGAAAGACCTCTATGGAATATTTGTAGAGTTATCTAACCTGCATGGGCCTGACCAGTTCTTCATTGTGAGTATTTGGTGTATGTGTGATCTGTTCTCAGGATAATCTTCCTGGTTCCTATAGGGAAACTTCATGGAAAAATCTTTCTTTGGGTGCATTTAAAATGATACTATTTTCCTCAGAAAGTGGTAATTAAAGTGAATACAGGAGTCATGAAAAGAAGGAAAATGGGCTTCAGAGTTCTTCTTTGGTTCTTCTCTTAAAAAACAACTCTTACTTCAGATAAAATTGTTGCTCCTCACAAAGAATCCCATATGCCATCGCATATCAAAAGAGAAGGCTCTCGAGAAGGCAATATCTGCTGTGAATATAAGGGGACAGGTTGTATATTGTTAATGTAAATTCCCAGCCCATGAAGTCCCAGCATTGGAGTTATGGTTGCATCCCCAGGGCTGGAGCACATTGCAAATCCCTGAGATGCAAATTCTTTGCCTGTCTCCCATGGTACATAGCTGTAAACCAGTCTTTGAAAATCCGTAAGTAGGTGTAAAACATGCATTTTCCATGGAAGCAATGACATTAAAGAGGGACCCTGACTATGACTATGGCCTATTGTAAATTATCTGTAACTTAAATTTTTGCTTTTATTTTTTATTCCTGGTACCTATGTTTTATGTGAGCAGCTTTTTCATATATCTCCAGTAATTCCGTGCCATGCCAAAAAGATGTGGGTTTACTTCTTAAAGAAACTGCTATAAGCTAGTTGTACCTGAGCTGAAGGGTTACCCAGAGCAAATGTGTAAGAAGTGAAACTGTTCCAGGATAACCTGCCTTGGTTTAGGGGAGAGTTAATGATAAATTTATTTTCCTGACCTGTCTGCCAAATATTTGTACACTAATTAGGTCCTATTTTGAGGGCAGAGCATGTGAGCTTGTAAGGAACCCCTTGTACAGGATGGGAAGGGCAAGAGGGTTTTTGTCCCTAGTGAGTGCAAACCCCATGTTTTTTTACGTAGCATCACCTAAATATGTGCATTATTTCTAAGCAGCATGTGAATCCCTGGGCTCATATGGAGACACTTCTTAAATTGTCTCATGGGAATAGCTGTAGCCAGCTCAGGTGTTCAAGTGTAGAGAGCATTGGGGAAGAAACTGAACTGAGTCAAGGCATAATCACGGTTTTAACTTTATATAATGTCTTTTGCAATATAGTAGAAAAATTACCCTTATGACTAGTGGCAGGACCTGTTGTATAAGTAATCCAGCCATGGTGTTGGTTGGTATCTTGCTTTTCACTTGAACCTCTCTGCGATGCAGGTCTTGGAGGAGTGAGTGCCTGGTGCAGTCTCTGCCTGACTCCTTGGTAAGTCATTCAAGTCTATCTTTCTGTACAGTCACTTTCTAAACTGCTCAGCAAAAATAAGAAAATTTTTCATAGAGTGCTTTAAAAGAGAGCTGCTAATCAATTTTTCTTATTATTTTATGCCCTGTGATTTTTACACCACCCCCACCAGCTGGTTAATCATGCAAAAGCTGAACACTTCATTAGCCAGAACATGTTTGCCCATGGGCATTTCTGTAGTAAATTAGTTCTTTCTATTTATACAGGTAAGTCATGGCCAAAAGTCTTTAAGGTGCCAAAGGTAAGGGTTCGAATTAATTCTTTTTTTGAGTTTTCAAAAGAACTAGGTTTAACTTTGTATGCTGTTGATTTGAAATTACTTTTGAATTAACGATAGTGTGGGTAAATGAGCATTGTCAGGCTGTTCAGAGATGCACTGTGCCTTTCTGGGTCTCAAATTTGGCCTTTGTAGTGCAGGCTGCCTTGAAAAAATAGCAACAAAAGAACCCAAAACTCATGCACTCACATATATAGATATATATATACGCATACATGTATATGTATAAGCACACTCTCTTCATGTAGAGACTCTGCTTCTTAGAGTGGCATGTGGCATATTGACCCGTGTTTTTCCTTTCTTACTCTGTGCCTTTTATACTATTAATTGAAAATACGTGGTTTGCAGATGCTTTTTTGCCTCAAATCAAATGGTGCCCTCTGAAAGCCTAGTTTAGCTTGACAATGAATTTAGCTTTCAGGCTTTGGCCATTGCAATATTGTTTGAATGCCACCATTTCCTGCAATCAATGTAATTTTATATCTACTTGGAATAGAAAGTCAAGATGGTGATTGCCTTAATTTAACTCAGTGTTGTATTCATTAAGGAGCTGATCCCAAATTCCTTTCAGATCAAAGTCTGTCTTGATTTCAGTGGAACCTTTCAGTGCACAAGGTGTGCGGTAGCCTTCTAAAATGTTGTCATTGTGAATAGTGAATAAAAACTAAATGTGTTGCTAAATTTAGGCTGTTGCTCATGTCAGCTTCCTTTTCTAAATGACGGTAAGTGCATTCCATAAATAGTATGCCTCTTATGTTGTCATATCTCTTTGGCTTGCTTTGCAGTATTTTACAGGATATTTGCAAATGAATTTTGTGTTCAGTAGGCAGGGGATGAAAATAACACTACTCATTGGGACTCCATTAACCCACAGCTAATGAGGAACCATTTCGAGGGCTGGATGAGTGTAATTCAGATTAGCCTGCATGCCAGGCTGCTCTGCTCCTGCTCAGCCTCGCCCCATGCCACGCTCCCCGTGCCGTGCTCCGGACGGACGGAGCCTGGAGCGGCACGGCTCTGGCACTGCCTTTGGCCAGTTAAGTTTTCTGTGCTTCGGTTCTCCTTTTGGAAGGTAGGAGAGGAGAGGGAATGCGTCTGTGTGTGTGTGTGTGTACCCATAGATAGGTGACAGTGATCTTGACCTCCATGGTCAGGTGTTTTGGGATGTAATGAAATACTCCTCAAACACTCCACTCGTGCTCGCTGGTTGATAGCATTGTTACTTGTAGAAAAGGGTACTACATGGTGACAGTAAAGGTGGTCCAGACTGGCCCTTAATTAATTCTATTTTCAAAATCTATATTAGTGACTGTCGTGAGGGCACCTGGGCACTTTACATCAATAAAATAATCAATTTAAAAAATGTGTAGACCAGAACTCTGTGTTCACTAACAAAACTCCTGTTCCCCGTTATGACTAAAGGTCAGTCCAAGGCTGGCCAAGCAGGCAGGACTCGCATTCCTGCGCCTTGGCACTTGCCAGGCGCGGCTCTGGCGGAACACCACCGACAGCAGCTTCCAGATGCCCGCAGCCCCTGCGGAGACCGGCTCGCTGATGACCGGCGACTTGTTAACCCCCTGCGTGTCTCAAGTTGGTTTCAGGACTGAAGGAAAAGGTGGGGAAAGACCAATCCCTGTTAAAAGTGTGACTTTGCCAGTTGCTGGCACTCTACTGATGTGTAGGCAACAGGGATTTGGTGGAGCTGTGCTGCTGGAATGGAGGGAGGAAAGAAGAGACCTTGTGGAGAACAGGCTAGGCATCTCTTAACTGCAGAAACTTTATTGACGACAAATGTTACATTATGCAAGCTTAGCAAATTCTCTAGGAATATAATCCTTCCCCGTTTTTGCTTAACATGTGTTAATATTTTATGATACCTGTGCATTAAGGGACCGTTCCTGCAATGTTTAAGTGAGTTTGGGCTGCTAAATTGCCTTTGTGGACTTTTAAAAAACACTACTGGTCACTGCAAATTAGCTAAATTCCCAATCTCACTTAACACGCTGATGATACAAAATCAGATTTTTTCTGTTTTTCATGTATTAAGTGAACATGTGCAATTAAATTAAATGTTGATGCAAAGCTGCATTTTATTTATTTCTATTAGTACATTTGGGGAAGTAATCCCACTTTAATACCTAATTGTGCAAGCAGCACTGAAACTAGGAGTTCCTGGACACTGGTGTAATTTTTTGAATGTGAATTGATAATATATTTTCATGTCTTGAAATACAATTGAACTCAAGCTGAGCTTAAAAATCCAAGATCTGATTCAGGAGAATTCAGTCCCATCTGGCTGGTGGGTAGCAGGTGTGCAGTGTGTGTTTGAGGGAGTGAAGTGATTGCAGGGAGTGAAACATTTCTCTTTTCCTGTAAAGCTTTAATTCCAGTTTAATGCTGTGGTCTGGAGCTCTTTGCAGTTTAAGTTCTTGTGTAATTACCTATATCTATTGTTGGTCTCCATTCTTAGACAACATAATGGTGATGGTGAATGGCAGAAGCGAGTAAATGTCCGGCATTATGAAGAAATATGGTTTCTAATTCTCAAAGTTTGGATTTATTTTCTATAACACCCAAGTCCCTCGTATGGGAGAGTGTGTTTTTACAAATTGATATAGACATGATCCTTGAAAACCAAATGAGAAAGGTTTCATTGCAGTGTTCAGGATCAAGGTCTTTTGAGTATTGTTACGCATTCCCACTGCAGCATAGAGAAGGTTCGTGTCATCTATATATTTTTATAAAAGCAAAAAAAAACGTATTATACAATTTGTGTTTTCATCCCATAATAGACAGACTCTACATTTTAATTACTGCAGTTATAACAAGGGAGGGGTTTTTAATCTTTAGAAGTATTTTAACAATCTATTGCATACTTTGTTACCTTATAACCTTAAGAAACTTCTCCTAGCCTTTCTCGCTTTCCTCTTTTTCTTTCCCTTTCTTCATCTTTGGATCAGATACTGCCAGTCACCCCCCGCCTCTGCCTGGGAGCTTTTTGCTTGGGAGGTTCAAGAATCTGCACTTCCTTGACTTTTGTCACTAGCTGTCAAGTCAGCTCCCTTTCACACTCCTATCAACTTTCCCTCTTCCAACTTTTAAATATTTCCTCTTCTTTTTATTTGTCTTCACCACTATATAACTTTGTGATGAGAAGTCTTCCAGTGCATGAGCTTTTTATGGGAGTTGGCACACAAAGCTCTTCTTACTTAACAAAATAAGTAAGCAAACATACTTCTTTTACAGTTTTTGAGTTCACATTACTACAGTAGGTGACACTTTTGCTGCTGTATTTCACAGGTTTTTTTCATGGTGAGCTGACTTAATTTCTAACGTAGAGTGGAGCTGGTGCTGTGTTGCCAAGGGAAGTCCATCTGGTTTGACAGATGAAATGATAAACATTTCTCTGGACATCCCTGTACGGTTCTCCCTTTTGTTTGTTTGCTTTATGAAGTTAAATGGAGGAGGTCACCCCCTTTGACAGAGCAAATTCTTTTTTCTAGCAATCGGGCTTTGGAAGAAAACATTTTTTATTAAGCAAGTCATCCATACCACACCGTAGGCTGTTTGAGTGTAACAGTATGTTACAGTCTGCAAAGTTAATGCAGTTAATATTCAACTGAACTTTTGGGGGGTTGCTAATCCCTTAGGCGGGCTTAGCAGAAAGGGCAAACATATTTATAGCACTTTGAATCAGACTGCAGTGAACAAGTACGAGTATGTGTTATACCATGCAAATGTTACACAATTTCAGGAAAGCTCAGTGCATAATCATCTTTTAATAGTATTTAAGTTGGTGAAATATCTTGTCTGTAAGCAGCAGAGTTGTTGGTCCAGTGGACAACAGGTCTGTTAAAATGAAACTCGGTGAAAGGTCTTAAGATTCTTGTTCTGGTGGTAAGTTCTGAAGGTTCTGAACAGATTTATGGGCTGTCTAATTAGGAGCTAACTATATTCTTTAAGCTCTGTCATTTGTATTATTCCCTAATAGGATTTAATTGGACTTTGTCACATATCTGGCTATGACTGAGTGTGTGCAGGGCTGTCAGCAGCCTCTTCTGTATAGACCTCAGTCTCTTACTGTCTTTGTAAAAATAAAAAGATCATACCTGAGGAATCTTTTCTCCAGAGTGGAAGTGTGACACTGGACAGAGTTTGCTTTGGTTGGAGCTGTGGGCATGCCAGGCAAAAAAAAACAAGAGTTAAGTCACAAGTTTCAGGCAGTTCATGGAGAAGCTGAAGTGCCCAGGCTGAAAATGTCCAGCAAGGAGGGTCACATCTCTGTGAGACAGAAGATCTCCACATTTATGCCATGGACAAAATTTGCATTGAGTGTAAAGTTACATAGAAGAGCACATAAAGGGCCCTGGACTGCTGCCATCCCATCAAGAGCCAGAGAAAAAGGAATTATGATCTTGGATTTTACACACAATTTGATTGTATAGAATTTTTAGTCAAATAAAAAAGAGATCTGTCATCTGGAAGTCAACAAATAATCATTTGTGCTTTTTTAAAAAAATTATTTTATTTTGAAAGAGGTGAATGCAGTTGCTAACAGCTGTTATCTGTATCCTAAATTTTTAAGGTAAATTTCTGCTGCCCTATCAATGCAGGCCTGACAAAGTGTCCGTTCTAATCAAGATTCTTAATGTGTTTTACATTTTGGCTATTTTTTCCATTTTTTCTAGATATTAACTATCGGAAAGAGTGACTACAACATGGAACCTGACTTTAAAGGGGGCTCCGGTGCCTGAATTTACACATGCACTCAAATTACTCATTGATTTGCCACCTTACTTGTACCCACTCCTTTCCTTTTTCCTTTGCTCTTTGTGAAGCATACTGGCCACTCATAGTCCTTCAGGAAAAAGTCCAACAAAATAATTCATGTGTCAGAATAGTTGGAAAAATGGAAATACGTTGCTAAAGATTTTCAAATCAATTTGTTATATTTTCAGTTAAAAATAGCATGACTGAGTACCAGAGCAAGTTAAAATTTTGTATTGGAGTTATTTATAGCTGAAGTACCTGAAAATAACTAGTTTATTATGTACAGAATTTGAAATTCCAGAATATATTAAAACATTAGCTCAAAGGTCAAAAGCCTCTCCCAAGGAAGGAACGAACTCAGAAGGGAATTTGGGCTAATCAGGTTGGTTCTGTAATGGTTGCACAGAGGTGTTTGTGGCTTTCTTTGGTTGCCCATTCTGAATGTCCCCAGCTCATCATTGGATCAGCTTCCATGCAAATTCTAGCAGGATTCAGCCTGAAGCCTTGGCCTCTACGACACGATCCCATAGCATTTCTGTTGTTGAACTGAGCAGTGAGGGCAGGATCCACTGCAAAGGCCTGACTTCACAGAGTGTCCTGGTGGAGGTCTGCTGGACCTTAGCTACACATCCTGCAACCGTCTTGGAGCTTAGAAATGGCATAAACTATCTGCAGTTTTATTGTGAAAACATAGCTAACAGTCTGATGATGTTAACTGTGTTAAAAGGTTGGGGGGGGGTTGTGTGGTGTGTGTGTTTCTGTGCTGAACTCTATACATTTATGAGCTCTTTTTATAGTACCGTTCCCAGCAGCATTCCCAGGAGCAGTCCAGGTCCAATCAGGACTGGTATGCCATTGTGCGAGGTGTTGTTCTAATTCATGTGTAAATGTGGAGTGGTTGCTGCCCTGAGGATATTACAGTGAAATTACAAACAGGATGAAGAATAGGAGGAGGTGTGGAGGAGAAGGAGGGCAGCTGCAGCAAGGTGCACTTGTCTGGTCAGGGTTGTGGTATGTACAGCCTGATACCGAGTGGTGGGCATTTCATTTATTTATAAGTCTGCTGCCTTCAAAACAATTAGCCTCTTTGTCTTTTGTTTGTGTCTTAGTTATTTAAGACGAAATGTAAAGAGTATGAAATTAATCGTTCCCAAGATCCTCCTGCTGTGTCTCTAGCAATGACCAACCCCAGGCACCTCAAGTGTAGTTTTAAGAGCCTCACAATGGGCAGACTTGGGATAATCTTCTCTCTACATGTTCTCATCCTAATCTTTCATTATTAGGGATTAATTTAAGCTTTGAAGCATGAGGTTTAAAAAAATATTATATTTGTTGTTCCCCCTCCTCCACTGTCAACCTTGTTTAAAATATGAAATATCCTCCGAAGCCCGTCGTCAGCTGTTTTCAGGTTAATCCTACCTTCTCCTTGGTGTGTTGGCCAGACCTGCAGGTTGAGAGCTGCTGTGGTGGTTTTGCTTCCTCTGGTGCCAGAAGGCACTGGTAGATCCTTTTCCCCAGGGGGGTGGGTGAAGGCAGAAGCATGTTGAGCAGTTATGGCCTGGGTGTTCCCATGTCACCATATGTCAAAGCTGTGATGGTGCAGCTGGATCTCTCCCCTTTCTTTTAATATTTTAGTGGCTAATTTGCAGTAAAGCAGAATAGGAAATAACCATAAATAAATCTGGGAACCTTTGTATTAATTTCTTTTGCTAGCTGTGTACATATGAGCAGCTTGCCATTTGCATATGTGAATCTTGTCATAACAATTTTGGGAAGTGATTTGTTAATAATCAAGTTCTCAGAACAGCTCTAAATCAGTAATTGATGTAGGTCTGGATAAAGCAAGCCTTCCGCCTGCCTATTTTGTGGAGCATTTTTGGCAAGTTTCAAGCTAGTGTGAAAACTAGCCATCAGAATAAAATTTAGGACAGCTGGGATGCTTTGCAGTGAAGACTTTTGGCTCCACAGTTCAAATAATCACAATAGCAGCTCAATTTAGCCTTTGGCTGGGTAGGTTTGGCAGGGCACAATGAAAAATAATTATTTCATGGCCTGCTTATTTGTCCCTTAACAAATAAACTCTCTGACCTATGCAGGCTTATGTAAATATGCTGCCGTATGTGGGGTTGTAGAACACTGTCATGTCCCCATTTGGAAATATGTTTTATTTGCCCTCGTGTTACAAACTTTTTTTAGAGTTCTGTTTTGGAAGCAAAGAAAGGGATAGGATATATCAGATACTGAAGCTCAGACAACCAGGCACAGAGTCTAAAAAGCCATCTAACAGTCTTTTTTTTCTGAAAACACATCCATTAGTATGCAGTGTTTTCACTGCTGTAATAATAAGAGCAATCATGATACGAGCAAGTCCGTCTCTTCGCAGCCTTCCCACGCGGGATGGAGAATGACAGCTCCTAAAGCATTTGGATATTTGCCTGAATGTGTGCTGCTTAGCTAACAGCAGTTCAACTTGCTCTCCATCTTATGGCTTCCTGGATATCCTTCTCAATTTTTTCAGTGACAGCTTAAAATGTGAGATATGGAGGGGGGAGATAAAAGCTTAGTGAAAGGCTTTTTGTGTGTGTATTTAAGGGGAAGTTTTATTACACTTGATGATGGAGGGATGTGCCACACTATTTTCTGTTCCCACCATTTTAGTATTTGCACTTTCTGTTGTAGTGGCAGCAGCCAATCCATAACATTGTCTTTCTGCTTCCCCTTCTGGAGGGGGGAAAATGCACACAAGAATAGGGATCAATGGTTTTGTCTTCTGGCACCACCATTTTGGTTGTGCAGCAGTAAAGGAAAGCCTTTTGCCCAAAGAGCTGAAAGATGTCTCTAGAACGTCTGCCGTTGCACACTCACGCGCAGACACACGCACACTTGCACAGGCTCTGGCTGAGGTGGCTATGATCTGTTTTTAATAGTGGCACTTCTTCTCGAAGTGTCATTTAAAAAAACATCAGCAGTCATGTCATGCATCGGGATGAATTTCTAAATGTAAATGAGATTCTCTCAGTAATTTATTTACATTTGTTTTCAGCACAACAAATGAGACATCACGTAGCTTCATAATTTCCCATGACCGAGTCACCAGCATGAGGTGTGTAATTTACCCTGATTTAAGATGCTTATCTAGAGGTTCTTGCAACAATACCTGGTGGGCTCTTTTGTACTACTTTTTGCTGGCTTTTAACCCATATACTTCACCTCCTTCTCTGTATTTTCAGTTAAAAAGAAGTATAAATGTGTCTGCTTCTTGAGGCCTTTTTCCAGTAGAGCTGAGAGGGATGGCTTTGTTGCCTTTGTTTAGTATGTTATTTTCCCTGCCATTCCCTTCTCATTTGGTAAAAGTCATCGAGGGTTTCCAGAATGGATCTCCATTTACATTATGATGATGCAGGAAAGCAATGCTGATTGTGGACATTTCTGATGGAAAAATGTTTGCCCAGAAATGAAACAGTGCAGTGGGAAGCATCCTGCAGTCATTTGTTCTCCCCTCTTCTCGGCTGAAATACTAAATCTTAGGCCTGGTCTTGTCTCTAATACTGGCTTTAAGTTTCTGATCTGCCGGTAGCTGAAATGATACTTTGCTTGAGATGGGATGTGAACGCCAGTTTTCAAATTATGTGAACACAGTCATGTATTACAAAACTCATTTATTTTAAGCCTGTAGTTGGACCATTTAGATGTCTAACTACTTGCTTAAGTATTTCAGGTAGGTAGATGATTAAAGGTGCAATGTACCATGCATACAATTTTGTACCTCTTATCTTGCAGACCTGGTTACGGCTTGAGTAAAAATCAGGGCAATGGCTTTTGCTATTTTACAGGTTATCAGCACAGGAGAACTGAGATACTTTGGTGAAAGTTACTGGTAAGTCCAAAAGTGGTACAAAATGCTGTAGTTTGGGGATGTTACAGTGCAAAAATACTGTACATCTTCATGGAGATCTGCAGGATTAACCCTGTGTGGGTGATCTTTTCCTCACAGGGAGGGAGCATGACATTTCTTTGTGTTAATTTCCAAAGCTAAAATCAGTGCCTTCCTATAAAATGAATAAGCATATTCCAAAAAATAATAGATTTGGACTGGTTTTTAATGTGCATTGTACATACTAGGTCTCAGTTGATTTAATTTTGGCCTGCTGGCCATTTCCTTAACATTGCATGGGTCTAGCACCAAATTATGCTGATGGCCTGTCTATCACCAAATTATTTACAGAACTGCGGTTAAATTATAGAAATCTTCCAGACAAGCAGTGCTCTGGGCAAATTATTTCATCAAAGTTATTTTCCATGGTATACTTAAGCAAAAGCTTACAGGAACAACATTAATCTTTTTTTGGTATGTGATTATGCAGACGTGGTAACAGCCCCTCTTTTAGAAATAGCTTCCTACCTGGGAAAACAGAAGGAAACCATGATATGAAAATTAGTTCTCTCTATGCTATCCTTGGTTTGAAGCAAATGTTTTATGTCAGGGAAACACAGAACTGAGGCCAGCAGTAGGATGGCCATTTCTGCACACTGTCAGCTCCTTCCAGGTCTTGGGAAATTTTCTTTCTGTAGACTTTTAACTGTACACTTCCCTGAATTTGTAAAATCAGGTACTGCAGAAACAGGTCAGCTGGCTGTACTAGTTCTCCATCACATCAAGGCCCAGTGGGCACTGCCCACTCTTCCAGAGAAGAACATTTGTGTATCTGAAGGCAGTATATGGCATCGTCTGCATTACCCCCATCTAGCAAGATCTGAGCTGCTGTATGATTATGAAACATACAAAGAGAATATAAATCCTAAAAGCAGCCCTAACTCCCTATTGTAATTGGCACCCTTTCAGACTCTGTTCCAGGGTTTAGAAATATAGTCGGGGTAGAACATCTATATTTGGGTTTATATGTAATGGTCATACCTACTGGTTCACTTGGAAAAATGTTGGCATAGATCACTATTTAAGGACCTTGGGTGCAGCATTTATGTTTAGCTCAGTATTTTTTATCACTGAATATTTTTTTTTAGTATTCCATGTTGCCGTGTTTGCACTGTGAGACAAGAATGCCTCCCCAGCCTCTGCGCGGTTGTGCGCTTTTTGTTGAACGAATATAGAAATTCAGGTTTTAAACTGACTCCCATGAATAAATTCTTCTGGGAAAACAGGTGCTAAAAATCTGCGGTTTTCAGACCTCTCTCTGCCCACGTACTTAGGTTCAGACTCAGCCACGTGTCGATGTCAGACTGGAATGGGACCTCTGTGCTCAGGGCCCAGGATGTGGAGAACCATGCATGTGTGAGCAAGAGTGGCAGAGTCAGGAACTTTAGCATGAGAGCTAAAGGCTTTTGCAAGATGAACATCTGATTTAACTTGATTTCTGTCTGGTGTTGGGTGGTGGTTGCAGTTATGTGGGACCACATGTGGGGAACCCCCCTTGGCAGCTCACCCAGGGGGACTCAGAGGCAGCTGAGAGGTGACACTCTGATAACTGGGGTTTCATGTGTTGTTCGAGGGTTTCTTGTTGTTTTGTTGTTTTTTTTTTTGATTGGCAGAATGTGAATATATGTGAAAGCTGGATCTCCTTTACTTGTGATCCTCATCAGATGCAAATCTCATTAAGAGTCTCCTTAATTTAGAAATGCTTATAAAGACAGGAAGATACTTAAAGCTGGCTTTGTCAACAAAATGGAGGATTTATGCTCTTGGGGCCCTAGATGGTCATTGCTGCACAGATACTGAGAATTAAGCTTCTACAAAACCCTAGAAGCTCCCAATTGTATTTCTCACCAGTTCTTTACTCCCCCAGTTATAATCCATATCCCACTTATTGCTAGAGTCAACAGTCTAATGGTAACAAAAAATACAACCTTTCATCATCTATTGATTTTCAGTCTTTAAAAACTGACAATAAGCTATTTTTTGTCCAATTCCTCAATAAATAGGAGCATTTATTGGTTTTTCAGTTTTACTGTATTACATTAGAATATATTTTACTGCATAGAGTGGGTAATGTAGCATCAGGAGAGATGTTTACATTCAGCAAGTAACTTTTGAAACTGCATAGCTCAACTGAGATATGTAAACAAATTTGTAATACTAGTTTAATTTAGATTACAATGCAGAATACTCAGCCTGGAGCTCATTTTTCTATTTATTCCATTATGATCTTCTAACTAATGGAAGAGAATTGCCATAAAAAATAATTACAGTAAAGGTGAACATCTACTTTCTTCTCATATAAAATAATTACAGTAAAGGTGAACATCTACTTTCTTCTCTGTCTGAGCAAGAGGGAGGAATTTTGAGGTATAGTAGGCACTGTGATATTGGGGTTTATTTCCTAGAAATCCACCACTGACATTGTTGTATAGGTTGGGCAAGTCATAAATTCTGTCTGTGTGATACTGTGTCAAACGACACAGCACAAACATCATCTTTCTCACTGACCTCAGTTACCTGCTCTCCTCCTGAAAAAGGAGACAAATTAGGATATGATTTAGCTGTGGCAGAACTTGGGATGTAGATCCCGAGTTGCCTCCCCACTGCCACCTGCCTTCACAGCACAAGATCACCTGGTAGGTTTTTTTTCCTTTCCAGAACCTCTCAGGAGACACTGGAGATCAACAGTTGCCTGTTGCTTACTCTTGTGGTGATAAATGGCAGTTTGATGGTATTTTTATCTCTGCTATAAAACCAGTTTAAGCTTTTTTAAATTTATTTTTATTTTTTTATTAAGAAGCAGTTAATTTCTCTTTTGGTGACATTCAGTTCTACAGCCAAAGGCAGTAAGTGCTTAGATGTTTCCATTCGAGCACCAAAAAATCTGAGGTGAAAGTGCCTCTGCTGATGTGAGGATGTACAAAACAACCTCTGCTTTAAACCAGCTGTGCCACTGTGCCACCAGCACTGACCTTTGCTGACCCAAGTGGTTCTCTGGCTTCAAGGCTATCAAAATGATCAACCAGGCAGGCTTCTCAGAAGTGAATGAAAACATTCACTTAGACGATGAAACATTTTCCTGAATACTCTGAACAGGAAGACACTTGTGACTTATGTTTCATAACCCTTTCACAGTAAGCAAAGAGGGAACCATTTGGGCAGAACACTTCCTTTTGGGTGTAATAGGTGTGATTCTCTGAGGCACTGGCCCTTTCTCATAAGCTGCTGTGGATCTTGCTGTCATCTCTGTCTTACAGGATCTGATGTACAAGGAGTTAATGGATATCCAGTGACCAAAGCCATTTATATTTCTCTTTATATACAGAAGTGAAGTGGAGCATGTAAAATTGGAAAGCAGAACCAAACCTGAAATTCTCTAACTTTATGACTAGTATGTGTGTTATTTTCCCATGATCTTTAATTACATTCTGTTCTGGAGGGGGGGAGAGGGGGAATGCTAATCTGGTACACCAACTGGGGGAAAAACAAACTGTTTTACAGGGAGTCTAGATGACAGCACACAGCAAATGCAAAATCTGACATTCATATGAAAGTGAGCTAAGCAAGACCATAGAAGAGAGGCAAAATGACTGCAGCAAGAGGAATGCAAGTGGTTTAAGGAAACCATGGTTTCTCTATTTATTGAAATAGCACAGCCGACCTTTAAGGTGGGACTGATACAATGTAGATTTTGTAGAGCAGCACCAAGAGAGATGGCTGTCATAAAGGGAATGTGTGATTGGATTCAGGTTCATGAGAAGCTAGGTTTAGAAGAGTATTGCCCTTCCCTCTTTGAACATATAATATAGTGAGGCATGTCTCATTGCACTCAATGGAAAGATGCTATTTTCAGGGCTGCTGTTTGCTGTGCTTGCTAATGAATTTCCAAGGGGTGTTAGAGCCTTGGATATTGACTGTAGAGATGCTTGCAGTCAGTTGGAAAAGATGTGACTGAACATGAAGCTTAGTTCTGCATGCATACAATCCTGCTCTCTGATTTTCCCTCAAGTTGTATATTCAATATCACTCTGCAATCATAAATAATTTGTAGAAGTCCAGCTGTGACTTAAGACTTCTCTACAAACAGCAGCCAGGGTACAAAGTCACGTGATACCCTTTTTCTTCTTTCACTGGCTAAAATAACCTTTAAAAAACTATTCCTACTTCCAGTCTAAACATTAATACCGACAAACTGGGTGGATGCTTTTGCTGGGGTACAGCACAAATAGTCTCTGCCCTGTTTCTTGGTCCTGATGTCTTCTTCATCCCCGTGGCTGGGAGCTGGGTCATAGCACACTGATGTGCTCTCCTGCACCATGGGGGATGAGTTTCTGTGCAGAAGCAAATGTCTTTGCTAAACAGCTTGCATTAGCAGCACTATGCACTTACTATTTATTTGAGTAAGGGATGAGCAGACTGTTTAAAAACCACATTCCCAGGGTTGTTCTAGTGTCATGTTTGAAAGGAAATGGAGAGTCTGGCTTAAAGGTATCCTTTGTAAATAAAGTTTTAGGAACAGGTCTTACCTTGAGTCTTTCCACTCATGTTCATTAGCCTTCTATTCAAATGTCAGTGGATTTTTATTTTTTTTTCTTAGTGGATAGAATGTTCATTATTCTCTGTGAGGAGAAGGTGGGGAAGGTATGTTGTGTATCAGTTTAACACCTTTGAGTGGCATGTGAGGGCATGTCTCCTACTCTGAAGCACTGGTAACCCGTGAATAATCATGGAGCCAATGGGGCAGTATGTCTTATACCTCTCGGCATCAGCTGTGACTGGCGTGGATCCCTGAGGTGAGATCAAGGATGAAATGAACTCTTGTGTGCTTGGATGTGTGGATTATGAGCAGATCATCACTCAATGCCTATGTTGTTACCACATTCTGGGCAGTTTACCTCTAGCCAGCCCCAGGAGCAGTTGTAGCAGTGAGCTTTAATCTGCATTCCAATTTTAAATTTAACTTCTATATGAACCCCTAGAAAAAAAAAGTTTAATTGTGCTTTGAAATAGAAAATAAGTGAAAGGTGGAATGAGAGGTTGTAAAATAATCAAGATGCTTTTTTTCTCTTTGGTAGATGGTAGGAAGGAACAGGAGCATACTGTGACTCCACTCCTCTTGCTCATTGTTTTTTGATCCAGCCCATTACATACACAGTGGTTCCAACACCTTCAACCATTTCCTACCAGCTCTGTCACTCAGAAGCCAGACTTCACTCCCATACTTTTTAGCAGTGCTGTGGCTCAGGGCATTCCCTTGGGACATCATCTGCCCTTGCTGCTTCTTATCACTCTCAGCTGGAGAAAGCACACTCCACTTGCCATCCAAGCCCAATGGCACACTTAAGCCGTGTAAAGGCCACTTGACATCATTTACATTTTTCATTAGCCTTCTAAAGGAGTTTCTCAAAAGGTGCAGTGGCTTTTCTAGCTTTTGAACTCCTTTGGAAGACTGTAATAATTTTGGACTAGCAGTATACCAGTGGCCTATAATTGTTATGCAAAACATTGTCCAAACATAACATAACTAATTGCACAATTAAGATTGCTTTCTCCTCATCATCCCATTCATCATACTCTTCATTCACACCTATTAGTCAGCATCTGGCATTAACAAAGACTGTATTTGTCACATTAATACATTCCTTTTGTAGTGAAAATGCCTTTTGTATATCTCTTTGATACTTGAGGGTCCTGCTAGCTTGTTCAGTAAGCCTGAAAACAGTGTCTAGAAAGCCTTGTAAGGTACATCCCTTTTTCAGATGTTTAATAGGAATGTAATGCAGTGGTACTCCGGGATACAAACAGCTACTCTCAGAGTTCAGAAAAGGAACCTGATACAAGTCAGCAAAAGACCCCCTCTTTCCTTAATAACATTGAGGTAAGTAATACAGTGTTTTGCTATTTTTAAAAATCTGAGGCAAATAATGCAGAATAGCTTTTCTTCACAGCGGACATTTCAAGGTCATCAGTCCCGTTAGTCTGACGTAAGGCGCATAATCAGTTCCTTCTGATAGTCCACACCAGAACCAAGCAAACCAAACCAACTTGGAAAGTGCAGGGGGTAGCAGGGGAAAGTCCAAGAATATCTGTGAATCAAAATGCAAGAAGTGGCCAGGTACCTTTACCAGTCAGACCTGCATGGAAGGTTTTGTGCTTGAAGGGGTTTGAGGGTCTGTTTGCCGCTCACATACAGACAGGGTGGGAGCGTCTGTGATTGGAAGCCTAAGAGGTCTGCAGCACCGTAATTCTTCTTGGGAAAAGGAAATGATGTAAGTTTCTACTTCTGGAATCTTTCCCCACTACTCTATAAATTTAAAGAAATAAAACACAAACAGAAAATTGATTTTTGAATGGCGGTGAATTATTGTCATTAGAGGAACTGTAGTTTTGTGTCAAGGGAAAAAAGCTTGGTGTCCTATATGCTACAGTGTACTATATGCTACTTTCTGAAGCATTACTTAATGTACCAGTCATTGCTGGGAACATGGAGTCCTTTTAATGCTAGTCAGGTAATATGTCATTCTCTCTGTAGAAACTCTGCAGCAGAGACATGAGTTATATACTGATGTAGTTATCAGAAGATCATGTGGTAGCACTAATGTGAGTCACTACAGTGGAGTTTGCCCCGTTTGAAATTTTTACATAATTAAAGTGAGTCATTGTCCAAATTCTGCCAAAGTACAGATGTCTTTAATTTAACATATGCAGTTCAGCTTGCATATGCTTTCCATAGGTGAACATCTTTTCCTTTGTGCACTACCCGGGTTAGCTCTGGTCTGGGAGATGTTCCCCTTTGCCATTCAATGTGCAGTGCTCCCACTGAAATCCATAGCAGCTTCAGAAAAAATACCTGGAACACCCAGACCTCTAATAGTCCTCTCCACTTTATGTTCTGCTGGTAATTCTTTAAATACACATAGATAGATCAAAACAAGTGTCTTTTTGTTTCTGTTGTAACGAAGGATATGGCCCACATTTCCTGGTGAAATACCTTCTGCGGCTTGTGTGTCTGGAGCAAGGCAAAGACCAGGGAGAGGATCAAAAAGGTAAGGAAGGTTTCTTTAAGAGAAAGCAAGCTGGGCATGCTTAAATAAATATTGGATTTATAAAATTATACACTTCAAGATGGTGGATGGCTTAGTACTCAGGGGGAGTTAAACCAGGTTGTTTTAGCAGAGAACAAGACCACCCTCCATGCAGCTGGCTGAATCACCAATGTTTCTGAGGGTTTCACAAATCTGTGAAGATGCCTACTCTGAGTCATTTGGCTGAAAGGGCAATACCCCTTCCTTCCTTCCTTCCTTCCTTCCTTCCTTCCTTCCTTCCTTCCTTCCTTCCTTCCTTCCTGCCTTCCTTCCTGCCTTCCTTCCTTCCTTCCTGCCTTCCTGCCTTCCTGCCCTCCTGCCTTCCTGCCTTCCTGCCTTCCTTCCTGCCTTCCTGCCCTCCTGCCTTCCTGCCTTCCTTCCTTCCTTCCTTCCTTCCTGCCTTCCTGCCTTCCTGCCTTCCTGCCTTCCTGCCTTCCTGCCTTCCTGCCTTCCTGCCTGCCTTCCTGCCTGCCTTCCTTCCTGCCTTCCTGCCTGCCTTCCTGCCTTCCTGCCTTCCTGCCTTCCTGCCTTCCTTCCTGCCTGCCTTCCTGCCTGCCTTCCTGCCTTCCTTCCTGCCTTCCTGCCTCCCTCCCTCCCCTCTCCTTCCTTCCTCTCTCCCTGAGCTGCAAATCTAGTTGCTCTTCATCTGATGCCGAAACCTAACAAAATGTGACTACCCATCACATCCAGATGTAGCTTGTAGTTTTGCTGGGCAGAGAAGGAAAGAAAGGCTTATTTAGAAATGTTGGGAACTTTTCTGATTAATTAATGAGAGATAGAGAAAATGACTAATGCTGGTCTGCTAATTTCTGAGTCACTGGGTAAATGATATTTTTTCTTATTTGCCAGTCCCTCAATAGGGACATTAAATAATGTTTACTGCTATAAATTCTTTCCTGGGAAGGGAAGGAGGTTGTGATACAGGAGAAACTTGTATATTTGATTTAAAAAGTCAGCTGTTCTCCTGAAGAAGGACTGCAGCCTTATGCAAGAGGGCATCATGCATACTGGTCCATCCAGAGAGTAGCCAGCCAAAGTGCCATAGGTTTCAAGCACCTTCTGAGAGTCCTGAAAGCTACCTTAGTAATTTACTGATGATGGAGATGAGAAATAAAATCTTCCTGTAGTCTCTCTCGCCATGCTGTCAGTTAATACTGCCAGCAAAGAGAGAAGGAAGTTCCCACACCTTCACCTTCACCTGCTGCAGAGAAAGGATTACGCAGGTAAGCAGTCCTGCGTTCCAAGTTAATAAACAGTCGGATTCAGGAGCATGTGATTTTTGATACCCTCAGTGCCTTCTCCCTGTTCCTGTTATATTTAAGTGTTCTGTCTTCTGTGGTTCGTGATCTCTGAGCTTGTTCTTCTTAACTTTTTTCCCCCAGTAAAAATCTTTGCGGCAAAAAAATAAAGCTGCATGGATGTGCCAGAATAGTGAAGCACAGTGTCCTAAATGATGTAACTCAGGTTTTGGGAGCAGGATAATTGCAGTAGTGTGATGCTTCTTTCAGAATAATTAGTCTTGCTGAGAACCAGGGTATAAAAGCCTGTTCAGAGCACAGTAATGAGGCAGTTACACCATTTCCAGTATTTGTGTGCCCCTGCATTGCACTGCAGATCAGAGCAGGCATGCCCACAGTGATGGTCAAGGAATGATTTCATCTTTGGAGCCCTGTGCCAGGACTGTGATACAAAATACGTGGGATTAATTCTAAAGGAAAGCAGCACTCATCTTCCATACTAAACCAGGGGGCCTTTGAGATCATTAAGAATAATTTTTTCAAAGGAGAGGTTTATGTTTCCGTTCATGGAGCCAAAGTCTGTTCTCATGCCCTGTTACTGCCTGGCACTTGCCCATCCAGGAATGAAATCTACTTCAGCTTTGTGCACTTGCAGATGTTGGGATTTCAATTTCAAAGTACAAACAACTCTAATATTAAAAAGACTATTTCCTCGGTGGGAATATGGGTTGCATGAGCTTTTTGACTTTTCTGTTTCATCTTTTGATCGTATGTGATATCACCTTTAGATCTCTATATCAATTTGGGTTTGTTTTTTTTTTATTAGCACCACAGTGGACAAAATGTCAGTAGAAGTTAAAGTGGAAAGAGTCCTCAGAGAGATAAAGGTTGTCTTCCACTTTTCACTATATGGTTGACTCTGCTGCCCTTTTCTGTTGGGGTTTAGTCTACTGAGGCATTTCTTTGCTTAAGTTAAATTTACTTATCTGTTATATAAATAAGGGCTGGCCTTGGCCATTAGGTAAATCTACTCATGGAGGGAAAAGGGATTTTCTAGAGTGCCTGTGTGCCTTGCTGAGACATGTAGTTCAAAAACATCAGATAAGGTAACCTTCAACTGGTTTTCTGCAATGACTTTTGTCAATGAGCCTTAAAAGCATTGATATTTTCAAGCATTATAGCTGAAGAGTACTGCAATGTCCTTGAACTACCCACCAGCCAAAGAATGACATCTCCAAACTCAGCTGGTAAATTCCCATGTACTGTCATACTTATGACTGACTTTTTCTTTTTTCTCTGAGGCATCCAGCTAGAATTACCAGGACATTGGCTCTACCCAGTATGCAACACCAGACTGGTACCACTCTCAGGTGCTGCCTGGATTTGCTGTTGCCCTCAGAATATTTGCTTCTATATTGTACAGTGAGGATAATCCTTTGTTTAATTTTTTTTTTTAACATTTTGAAAAGAAAATAGGGGTCTCATTCAGGTCTTTCCATTTTTGCATGATAGTACAGTTGAACAACATGTACATGTGTTAATTAAACATCCTGTCTTATCACTGTTTTGGTAAGTGTCCTGTAAATTTAATCACTACGACACCTCTGTACACATTACAATCCTTTTAAAGATCTAGAGAAAAATCCTGGTGGATTATTCAAAGCACTAAATCACACAGAATTACAGTAGTTATTAGAGGCATTAAAACCTCTGATAAGAAGCTTTATCATACATTTTTGGGGAAGCTTAATCTTTATCAGAGATGACTGTAAATAGAAGGGAACAGTAAAAAAAACTTAATAACAGTTTATTTTACAGTACATCAATAATCAGGTACTGTAATTACAGTATAGTTATATGTTTATTGCATAGTAAGTAAATACAGTTTATTAGTTTTCTTGCTTTTCTATTATTGCAATTACCTGCAAGACCTGAGCCAACAAGGGTCCTTATTGTATTTCCACTTACCCTGGGTTTGCACACACATACACGTATATGTATTACATACATGTTTGACTACTGCAGAGGAATTGAACCTGTTTACATGGAGGAAGAACAGGCAGTGGACATGCTAAAGATCTTTTCCACATGTACATTTATCTAGATTCAGAACTATAAATGAAGGGGATCCTATTTTAACTGTGGTTATATTTAGCTATCTAATTTTTTCTCATTTTTTTGGCATTGAAAAAGTTGTATTCTTAATTACTTAGATAAACCTCTCAGTTACAGACCTACTCAGTGTGTGGGTGTTTATATTTTATCTGTACATTATTTACCTCTGTACATCCACATCTGAATATAGATTAGATTAAGTCTCTGTTAATTGTACTTGAGCTGTGTGTGTGTGTGCATGCCTGTGTTTATGTATTTCCAGGAGTAACCCTGAAATGTTCTGTCATTTTGGGGTGTAGGCTAAGTACAGATAGCCAATTAGGTGTGACTTCTTCTAATTTAGTGATGTTTACAGTGTTGAGGGTTCTAGTTCATGTCAGTTACTGTGAAGCTGGCAGAAGAAATGTTCATGTATGATGTGATGAATGTGTAACACAAAATATAGCCCATGAGTGGGGTGGAGTGACTCCTGCTCCTCATGCCTCTGGTAGGAGCACAGCCATACCTCTAAGTGCAGATTTGGGCAGCACAGCCCAAATAAGCTGCAGAGAATTCGGTGAAAGTCCGAAGCAAATAAAAGGAGGGTGATAAAGAGTGAGGAAATGTGACCTGTCAGGACATACTGAAGATATTGGGGGTGCTTGGCCAGAAAAAGAAATGTCTGAGGGACAACATGGCAAAGGGCAGTGAGAATACAGAAGGCTGTGGGAACAGATAACCAGTAATTTATTCTTCTTGGTGAGAAATGGGAGGGTATGGGATGTAATTAGTTCAACAGGACCAAACAAAATTCACATTAGGTATTAGCAATAGCAATTAGCAATTAGCAATAACCTTCTAAAGCAGATAAAATTTGGGGTGTTGTGAAATTTCTTCTGTTAGAAATTCTTTGGAAACAGGCATAAATGGTTCTGCCTGGAGGCACACAGGGGGACAAAAAGCATCAAGACATCTTAACAGCACTCCTAGCCCAGTTTTCTGTACCTTGAACCATCTGTTTAAGAATCATGGTTGTGAGAAAGTGGTGTGTTCCCAGTTTGCTTGCCAGTGCATCAAAAGAAAAACAGGTGAATTGCTCATCTGAAATAAAACCTCTATCCAGTAAAAAGCCTCAGAAAGAATCAGCACCCACATGTGTCTGGTAAACTACTGAAACTTCATTTCTATCAAGATTTGAGGGCAGATGCTGCTCTGGCTGAAGCTGATGGCAGAAACTTCCCCTGGCAGTAGTGGAACCAATGTTAATTTATACCATAAAATCCCTGTTTGGCTGATTGTTTTCAACCAGTGATTGCACATGACAGGCATAGTTTATACTGCTTAATAATAAACTAGACAGTAAAATGTATTTAAACAAGTGTCAGTATATACTTAACCTACTCTTATTTTCCTTTCCTTATCCCTTCAATGGCATAAAATTTCAGGTAATGTATTTATTATCCAGTACTTGTTGATTGGGGGACTCCATGTTTAATTTTGAGGTGAAATAACTCAGATTTATTTTTTTTCCTAGTATGAAACAACTTTGAAATAACAATATAATTTTTACGATTATTCTGATTTTTTTCTACAACAAATTTTGCTTTTGTTTTATAGTAGCTGGCATTT